GATATCTTCTATATATGTTTATTTTATTCAAATATATGGGCATAAATGATTTTCCATACAAAATCACCTCGTCATCATTTTGCAAACACGTGCATATGTTGGAAGTGTGGGAAGGAGACAAAAAGTATGTATGCGTATGTAATGCGGCTTTTGATAAACAGAGGCGCGCTATTTATAACCTAATCGCAGAGTTTTTTGAGATTTTTTCGTCTGAATATGATTTCGTTCTGTACTTTATTGATACTTTTTCGTAATTAAGAAAAATCAAAATTTATATTTTGCGTTTAACAGCATTCGAACCCGAGTCTTCCCGAAAGTTAACAAATAGTAACAAGTATCTCTGCGCCCTTAGCTACAACCACAACATGTAAATGTGTTTTCAAATGTTCAGTTTGAATTAAATTTCTTTCAAGCGCTCAAACAATTTTATATTAAGGTTTTTCAATAAATATCTTTTCTGTTCAAAATTTCAAATCTTTAAATCTCAGTAAGCTGTAGAAAAAAACAATGGTATAAAATAAAAATAAAAATAGGGCTTTCGCTTATATTCTCATTGAGTTCTTTTCACTTAGAAGTATGTAAATTTGTAAAATTTTGGAAAACCCCTTTTTTCTTAGTGTGTGATTTCGTTTTTGACTTGGATATGCTCTTAACCATACCACGTATTCTACGTTTAAATATAGCGGCTGTATCTCCGATACAGCCTGCAGACCAAGACGAAGGCGCTGGACTGTTCCTTTTTTTTATTTTACTATTAGTTAATTTACATTTTTAGAGTTTAATTTTATTAAAAAGTCAAAAGTAACTAACTGAAAGTAACGTTAAAAAATATAGAACTTATAAAAAAATTAATACGACCGAAATAATTGAAAATTCTACTGGCCGTTGGACTCGAACCCACTACCCTGCGGCTCGTTAATCCGCAATACTGCCGTCTGTTTATCTGCATAAGCGTGGCCGTCTGTCTCACGTTTTTTTCTAAGCTTTTCAAAGGCAGACGACGGGCGATCGCTGTTAAGAAAAAAAGTTATGTGTGGATCCCAGATGCAACTGGAGTGAAACGTCTTCCTATTACTCAAATAATTGTCCATTTTTTTGCAGAAAATTTTAATTTTGAATTCAAACTCATCATCTTAATCGTAAACCTAACATAGTAAAAAGTCTTTCGTAAGTCAAGTGATTGAGAGATGGTCATATTTGAGATATATACCTTCATATTTTCGCACAGGGGGGTCAAAAAATAAATGTCTAAATATCTTCGAAGTGAAAATGATTGGCATTAGAAACTTTTTCATTGTGGAATCGTACTCAAACACTGATATTAGATGTTGTTTATCAAAAGGTGAAAATGAACCCCCAGTAATATTTTAAATTTGAAATTGGGGTTTAGTGTTTTAAACTGATTCAGGACTCTTTTGAGAATTGTAGAAGTCCGATAGACGAACAAAATGCGGACAGCATAACATGACTTTTTCTTTCACTGGAAAAAATATTATTTGTTCTAACCCTTTAATGTTGGTTGTGAATTAGTAATAGTAGGATTTACCGTTGCTTTCAAATTAATTTTTTGCGGATTCTTTAACCATTTAGTTATATTCTGCTGCGGATCTTTTGTGATTGTTTTTTTGGCATACACTTACCGAATTCCCATTAAATTTTCATTAATTTTAGTTTATAAGAAATTTTATTTTCAAATTTCCTATATCTTGGCCTACTTAATTTTAACGGTACTTAATGAAAATATTCAAAAATGTACTATTTCTCAAATTGTTTTCCTTAGCTAATTTTGTAATTTAAATGAACAATATTTATGAATAAAAATCCAGACACTTCCTTTAAATTTGCTGAGCAAGCAATTTCCACTATCGATTTCTACACTTTGTTACAAATATGCAAACAAATGTGTGTACATTAGGGTGGTCCAAAAAAAAATAAAGGAAAGTCCCTAGGACTGTTAAATAGCGAAAGAAATAATTCGCCAATTTTCTTATTTTGAAATCAAAAAATATTTAGAGGTAGCTTATTTTATATGGAAAAATAATTTTTCATAGAAATGGTATTTTTCATAGAATGGTATAGTATTTTTCGGTCGGAAAACTTTTTTCTATTCAGAAAACTTTTAATAATAATACCCAATTGTTTATTTTACCATCTTTTATTATTGGCTATTTTTCAAAGGACCCCTGAGACCCCAAAAACGCAATAGGGGGCCCATAAAAAATCTCAAGAATTTAAAAAATTGTTAAATAATAATAATAGATTGGCGCTTACATATTCATATTTAAGTGTTTGGCCGAGCTTCTCCTCCGATTTGTGGCGTGCGCCTTGGTGTTGTCACACAAAGGGGAGAGACCTATGTACAGTGTTACGCCGACCCCGAGCGGCGATGGTTTTTTATGCGAAGCTGTTTTTCATGGCAGAAATTCACTTTTAGGTTTGCCATTGCCTGGCGAGAAACAACTTTTTTTGATTTATTATTTTTTTTTTATATTGGATTGAACCGGGCTTGAACCCAGACCCTGCGGAGTGGTAGCGCACAGCGGCCGCCAATTAACAATTGACTATTATCGTTGAAAATCTCGTGAAGAAAACAAAGTTTTCTGATCGAAAAAAATATTGATTTTCAAGAATTCTATATCGTTTACACGAAAAATGTTTTTCTGACTTTTGCAAGCATTTCAAATTCATTTAAAATAAAAAAAAATTAAATTGTTCACAACTGTTGTTGTTTGAGATTGAAAATTAGGATGTGTGTGTGTGAGTTTGAGTTTTAAATTTTTAAATTATATGGCAAACGTAAGACTATCTCTCATGGTTTTACCTTGCTATGTTTTTATCATGATAAAATACATTGAAAATTTTGAACGCTTTGAGCGACCTCTATATATATTTGTTATGTCAATATAAAAAAACTGGGTATAATTTTTCCGGTAATATGACAATCCTACGGAGTGAGAGTATTAAAATTCCGACTTCACTTTTTCGCATGCATTTTTTTGGCCACCCTATTGCACATGTGTGTTTACCGCAGCTTATTTACAAGTTCATTAGACTTACATATTTACTTGCTCAATAACTTTGTCATTCATACCACAAGCTGTGCATATATACATACATATATACAGTGAAACCTCGATATAACGAAGTTGAAAAGGTTGAACAAATGCTTCGTTGCATATACAGTTTCATTATATATATATAGGATATCAAAACCTCGATATAACGAGGATGAAGGAAGATGAAAATGCGTTATAACGGGAATCTCACCGTCAACATATACAGAATACATTAGCTCTAATCCAATACTTTTCGTTCAAAATCCTGTAAAAATGTCAAACAGCAAAATTACTCTATGAAGTGAGAAGAAAAAGTTCGGTTAAAATCTTGTAAAATCTTCATTCTCTACACAACTCTCCAAAAATCGCTCTCATTTGCAGGATTTTGGAGGAATTTGGAGTGCGGGATAATTTTTCCGGCAACTGCCTGTAAGTTTTTGTAAAAACCTGTAAGTTCATGGAGTACTCCAGAATCAGAGCTATTATTTATATAAATGCGGTTGAGTCGAGGCTTCCTTATATAAAGGCTTTGGCCAACGGGACTTTAACCCTCAATATATTCCGAAGGTTTTCATGCTCAAAAATTCTACGTAACACATATCTGTGTAGCATTTTTGTATGGAAAATTTCGCAACTACCAGGATTTTTCAGGGGACTCAACAAAATTCTGTTATTTTGACTTTATCTTTGTATCAAGGTTCGTTATATAGAGACTTCTCTGTAGAGACTTAAATCCACACACTCACACATCACTCACTCGCTTTCCCGACAACACAAATCAAATTGGCTGTCAATAATTTACGCCAGCAAATCGCTGTACGCGCCATTCGACGTCCGCCATCCGCCATCCGCCATCCGCCGTCCGTTGGCCACATGGAGCGACTATATGCGCCGCGGACGCTGGTAGTATCGATTGACACATGTGCCACATGCGGAGGCGCCTCATTGCAACGCGTCACAGCAATATTTACATTAGTGGCCATGCGTCAGGGCCCACGAGCCGCCAACTCGCATCACACGTTTTGGTGGCGAGAACAGTCAGTCGACGACGACAAACGCCTTAAAAGTTTTTCCCACCATCTCACATTTTCTTTCAGCATTAACTTCGTTGTTTGGAAGGAAACGGAAGGGGGCTGCATAACGAAGTGTGGTAGTGTTAGCGATGCGAATCCTCACAATAGCCAACTAACTAATCAAGGCGACTACGTAAATTCAAAATTCATTCTGTTTTACTTCTTGCAATTTAGCTAAGATTTGTTGTTGATGCGGCGGCTGTATCGTCCGACGTAATATTAGCGATTGAAAACTGCTGCGACGATGACACGTATGTAGAAAGAACCCGATTGCCCACATTGTAATTGTAACAGCCAAAAGTGCCGTCTGGAGTGAAAACGAAGGGGAAAAAATAAAAATAAAATATCTTTAGGCTCGCATCCGCGTTTGTGACTTTGGCCAACAGCGTCCCAAACGTTTAGTTGGCCAGACGCAGAGGTGTGCGGGGGTCAGAGTGTGCGGCTGGCATTTTGCAGTTGGCAATTACAGATTTAACATTTACATTTGAGTTTTTCTTTATTTCCCATATTCAATTTCAACTTATCGTTCGTGGCAGAATCGCGCATGTTAACGGCAATTGCCGAATAGGTTGAGAAACTGTTTCTCTATCTTCACATTCACGGCATCGAGCGCAGCAAACGGCTGGCTGTAGTGCTTTAGTTGCTTTAAGTTCAAATGGCGTGTAGACGCTTAGTCGTGAGAGAATCAAATCAATTAATAAAATTAAATTTGCATATAGGGGGTAGTAAAACTAAACGCGAGTGCAAAAGTTTCTAGTTTAAACATTTTTCCAGTAATATTATTTCGCCTTTAAAGGTCACCTATTTTTTACCGCTAACCTTACAGTAACTAAGAATATTATTTCCTGTGTTCTTCTCGCAATAATTGCAGATCACCAATTCCCCATCGACCTCACCAACGTGGCCAAGGATCACACCAACCTTGAGAATGATCAACTGCAGTCGCTCTACCGACGCCTCTGCATTTTAAATCGCTGTGCCAGCATGCGTCTCGATCAGTCGCACAAGGCGCAAACGCCGCAGGTTTGTCAACTTCCCCTCTCTAAATTACCCCTTAAAGTACAACACATCATCAACTCATTCACGTACGATTCATACCAGCAGAAGGAGGACTCCGACGATGAGAACTGTGCACTCAGCGAAAATTGGACATTCCAGCCACATATACGTCGTTGGTCGCGCATCGGTGAAATGGGTTTGGAGCTGCCACCCGCCGGCAAATTGAATATCGAGAAGACGGAAAGCTCGTCCAAGGAATCGAGCCCCGATCGGTTTGAAGATGACAGTTACGACCTAACTGGCGGCGGTCTCTCGCTCACGCTGCCCGGTAACTCTACAGATTCCACGCTCAATGAGTCTGCCGACTCAGCGGCAGTGCGTTTGCGTCGCACTGGCAGTGAACGTTTCAAAGATGGTGCCAAGGCATTACTGCGCCGCGTCGAATCGATAAAGTCGCGCAGACGAAAGCGTCAAAACCGCGAAGGTATTGTTATAAGTGGACCACACGCTTTAGACCTGTCTCAACTGGGACAACGTGGTAGCTTGCGCAAACCTGATGCTGTTTATTCTACACCTCCATCGCCATCAGCGGTCAGTCCAGTGCACACATTCCCGAAGGGTCCCATGTTTGGCAATGAGCTCAAAGTACCTTCGCAAAGTGAAAGTTTCCTTGGCCCGAATCGGGCGAGTCCCAAACGCACACCGACCACACCACGTTCGATGCGCACAAGTCCACTACATTTCTTTTCCAACCCGATGCCGCATTTGAAGGAAGGCAAGTCGGATGATTCGTCTTCATACTATAGCGATAGTCAGGAGTCGTCAGCGGGTGGTAAATTGTCGCTGCGGAAGACACCATCCAAGACACGCAGGTTCTTACAGCGTACTGGAAAGGTAGACGATATCGGCGCGCATTCAGACTCGGAGTGTCACCACGGCAGAAAGCTATTGATCAAGGATGCAAATTCGAACACAACTGAGGTGAGTAAACTGTTGTGTAGACTAGGCAAATCAAATTGTTTCCCTTTGTTATCTTATCGCTTAGATCAAGGTTAAGAAACTGGCACGCGGCGGCTCTCTCAACCTGGGCAAGGATCCGAAGAAGCGTGATGGTTTCCGCACTGCGAGTTTTCGTTCGCGTTCCACCTCACGCAAAGAGTCCAAACCTGAGGAAGCGGACCATGTCAAACGGTAAGCCGTCTGCGTATTTTAGCAAAAAAAAAAAAACACTGCTTATTTTTATTCATTTAACTTCGTGCTTAAGCAGTCAACCCGTCGTACGATGGCACAGTTTTCAGATGGAAGAGCGCCCACAAATGATTTTCCGCAAATGTTTCTCCCAAAAAGTCGATCCTAACGTAAATGATCATGGCATTCCATTTGCCGCCATGTCGGCGGGACAGCTGCACGTTCTGCGCAAGCTGGCGCTGGTCATACTCACTGGCTACATGGAGCGCTATTGTCCAACACATCGCTCCGGCTGGAATTGGGAACTGCCGAAGTTTATTAAGAAAATTAAAATGCCTGACTACAAAGACAAGAAAGTGTTCGGTGTACCGCTGCTACTGGTGCTGCAGCGCACCGGGCAGACGCTTCCTGTGCCGATACGCGCTGCATTCCGCTGGCTGCAAGTGCGCGCGCTCGATCAGATTGGTCTCTTCCGCAAGAGCGGCGTCAAGTCACGCATTATCAAGCTGAAGTCGGAGGTGGAGCAGCTCGATTCCTCGGTGCTCTGCATGGAGGTCTACGATACGCAGCAGGCTTACGATGTGGCCGATATGTTGAAACAGTATTTCCGCGACCTGCCCGAATCGTTGCTTACGACAAAAATGTCCGAGACGTTTGCTGCGATTTTCCAACGTAAGTTCAAAGCAATTGACTAACAAGAAAATTAGAATCGTAGACTAACCATTTACCATTTGCAGATCTGCCCAAGGATGTACGCTTGGAGGCTGTTCAATGTGCGGTGCTTTTACTGCCCGACGAGAATCGCGAAATACTCTATGCGTTGCTGGAGTTCCTCACGCTGGTGGCAGCCAATGCGGAACAAAATCAAATGACCGCCAACAATTTGGCTGTGTGCTTGGCCCCGTCGCTCTTTCATAGCAGCATTTCTACGGGCACTGCTTCGGTTTCAGCCTCGCCACGACGCCGCAAAGGCGCTGGCGTGCCCGACGAGAAGGAGCTGCAAGAGGCGAAGGCGTCACACGAATGCCTGGCCTTCATGATTGACAACTACAAACGCATTTTTACGGCAAACAAAGAGAAGATTAGCAAATGCAACTTTGGTTATATGGAAGAGTCGAAACCGGTGCCGCTTGAGGCGCTTGGCGAGGGCATGCAATTCCACAATTGGCGCGGCTATCTGTACGAGTGCACGAGTGCGACCATCAAGGAGGGCAGAGAGAAGTAAGTGTGATAGAATGGAGCATGTGACGTTATGAATGGAAACAATTCGAAACCTGTTTTTTCTCATTTCAGGACACGTGGCTGGTTCACGATCTCATCACAAAACGACAGCAATGTGGACATTGCCTACAAGAAGGTTGGCGATGGCCATCCTCTGCGTTTGTGGCGCTGCACCACCGAAGTCGAGGGCCCGCCGAAGGAAGTGCTGGACTATGTCATTAAACAGCGCGCCTCCTGGGACGTAAACTTGCTGGAGAGCCAAACAGTCAAGAAGTTGGATGAGCGCACTGAAATCTTCCAATACGCCATAGATGGCCAGTTCACCACCGATTTTTGTGTCTTACGGTAAAACAGCAGTTTGTGTGTATGAGTGGAGAATTGTTTGAAATAATATTTTCTTTAAATTTTCCAATGCAGTTCTTGGCAAACAGACTTGCCACGTGGCGCTTGCGTCATTGTTGAGACTTCCATTGACCATGCCAAAGCTAAGCCGATGTTCGGCGCTATAAGGGGTGTGGTGCTGGCTTCGCGCTACTTGATCGAGCCGTGCGGCAGTGGGCGTTCGCGCGTTATGCACTTGGCGCGAGTGGACGTAAAGTAAGTGGGTACAAATGTACACATATACATACATATGTATACAACGTTGCGTAATGTTATGTATATGAAAATTTGATATATGTATTAAAATTGCCTCACCTGAATGTAACGCAATGCAACGTAACGTAACGCAAAGTGCAAAAAAATTATCGAAATTCTAATTTAAAATTCTATGTCCAAATTTTAATCCTTCGATCATAAATGTTTTCTTTTTTCAGGGGCCGCACACCCGAATGGTACAACAAGAGCTACGGGCACATTTGCTCGCATTATTTATCCAAAATTCGCATGGCATTCAAACATGTGGCCGACGGACCCGAAAGTAAGGTGTAATGGAGACGTATCGAATATTAAATGGAAAAAATGGCAAACACAGACTCAACTTAGGGGACAAAAAACAAACTTTAAAACAATTTTGATGCCCAAGTAATGCCGAAATACCCCAAAGACATCACAAAACTATGGAAACCGATAGTACTGATTTTTACAAATTCTTTTTTACGAAACTTCGAACGTCTCAAACCTTAAAGGCATTTACTTTTTACAAGCGAAAAGAAAAACAAAGAAACAAAATCAAAAAAAATTTTGCAAAATGCTTTTTTGAGTAAAAGGCGAGCACTTTTTGAACTAAGAGCATAAAATAAGGTTTCACAAAACTTAAAAAGTACCTACGTACGTGCCCTAAATACTTTGAAATTATTATTTTTTTCTAAATTTATAATACCAAAAGAAATTTTTAAACAGAAAAGTACGCGTGAAAAATATACAAAAAATTATTATAACTCTCGTGCGCTCTAAAACACTTCAGAAATAATACACAAAATAGAAAAATTTACATTGCCAAAAATTAAAAAAAATCAAAAAATCGATGAATAAATAGGAGCATCAAAATATGCATTCTCAACCAACAGTAGAAAGCGCCACAAATATCAACTCTACTATTTGGGAAATAGTACTATTATTAACCTAAAAAATATATAATAAGAAAAACAGATTAAAGTAAATAAACATATTTTTTGTATATATGTATGTACATGTATTATAAGGAAAAGGTTCATATATTTTCCCAAATTGACAGTATGCAATATTTTTTCGTATCCTTAACCATTAATATAATTGTAAATATTAAAAACAGAAATATAACTTTTATTTAAAAGGCATTGAACCACGCTAGAAAATAAGAAAATACAAACAAAAGCAAACAAAAAATATAGCAGTTAATGGAAATGTATGTTAGTCGCCTAACACAAGATAATACTCAAAACTAAGCATCACAAACGTTTATTTTTTACCGAAAAATTATTTTTTCTTAAAAAATCTACATAAAGAAACAAAACTCAAATAACACTCAGAGTTACATACATACATACATACGTAGGTATATAAAAACACGATTTTTTAATAGATATTTTCAAACTTCGAGTACCAAAATAAAATGTATGTATATGTACCACATTTTATATGCTAAACTCAACTAAAACTAAAAAAAAAAACGTTTGGTAAATGTATACATAATTGTTAGCTGTAATGTATGTATGTATGCATAAGCCTGAAAAGGAAGAAATGAAAGCTTCATAGGAAAGCAAGTTGGGCAAAAATTTTTAATTAATCATAAGGTAATAGAAATGAAAAAATCAGTGAAAATTAGAATTAATACATAAATTAGGACAACACTTGAAAACACACACACACACACTTGTGGCACATGAATTGTGAGTATGTAACAGTAAATTATTCAAAAGCGAAAAAAAAACAAATCAAAAGCAACCAACCCCACAACTGGCAATGAGAATGCAGTTAATTATTAACTAAATCATAAAAAAAAAAAATAATTTACATGTGTGTGGAATGGAATTCAACTAGTCAAATTGTTTAAATTTTAAGCTTAACGGTGTACTGTGTATGGAACCAGATATGTAATAGTTACGAGTAACTCGACAAATGCAATGCTGCATTGACAGAGAGAAACTGAAAAGAGAGAAGTGAGTGGGAAAGAAGAATTACATAAAATTAATTAAGTTAATTGTTATACCCAGCAAATAATTGTAAAGTACTAACCTTAAACAATTTATGTGCCCGAATACCAACTCTATGTGAAAAATGAGTAGAGCAAATTGGTCAGCAGTAAGAGTACCAAACATTTCAAGGAAATAAATGTATGTATGTATACAAATGATGGGACAATTTTAGTAATTATTTAGACATATAAAATTGTGTTTACTCAGATGTCGTTTTTGCTGCTCTACGTAACTGAAATAAGTAATAAAATAAAACATATACAGATACATATATAACAAAAAATGTTTTATTTTTAATGCAAAAGGATATGAACGAAGAAGTTGGCGACGTAAGTATAGCAACCACTGCCTTAAATGCTTTCAATGCGTTATGTCCTTTGAGAGCTAGCAAGGATAAAACGAGGCCAACCTGGTAGATCCTGCTGCTGGTAACTTTCTGGATGCAAATGAAAGCAAACCTTCTCGAACAATATGAAGCGTTCATTTGTGATCGCAAAGTTTAGAAAATTGTATCTAAAGGTATGTATGTACATTAGGGTGGTCCAAAAATGCATATGAGAAAAAGTGAAGTCGGAATTATTATGCTCTCACTTCTTTACCGAAAAAAGTATAACCTTATTTCATTATTTAGAAATCAAAAAATATTTAGAGTTCGCTCAAAGCGCCCAAAGTTTTCCATGTATTTTATACGGGGGAAAAAACAAATTTTCATAGAAATGGTATAGCATTCTTATGAATCAATATTTATATATCTATCGGATCCGGGTGGATTCCAAATTCTAATAGTGCAAAAAATTGGCGTAACTTGATCACATAAATATTAATAAGAGCATTAAAGTTTCGAAAAATCTCTTAATTTATGGTTCTTTTATAATTTAAAATTTTAGTATAAAAAGTGCCAATTTTAGGTTGCTAGAAAATTTCGTTGATTTTTGGCTTTGTTTTTTCTTTACGGTTTCACACATTTTTCGCGATTTTTTAACAACTTGAAACTTGCACTTTATTAAACTAAAATTAAAAGCGATACAAAACTGCAAACTCAAAAAATCTTAAAATATATATACATATGTATATAAAAGAACCGTGATTTGAGAGACTTTTCGAGGCAATTTTTTTTACAAAATCTTTTTTATTTGGGCGACCGTACATATTATCTGAATAGAAAACGAGAAAGAGCTTACATAAATCTCTCCTTGAGACTTAAAATGAGTTTGCTCGCCGCACCACTATGCGCTTTGGACCAGAACATAAGCGCAAAAAAACGGAGCCGACTTTAAGGCAAGCAGAGTAGAGGAGTTGATTTTAAAATTACGTAAAAACCGGAGAATTCTATGTATATACTTACATATATCGGAGTAATGTCCATAAGTCCGCTGGGCATTACACATTGCATACTTCCCAACAGCGATATGAGTTCATATGGCCATATAAAGAGCTAGAACGTTTTTTTGGTTTACTTAATTGAAAAAAAAAAAATTATTTAAATTATGGTGTTCTTCAAGCAACAAAAAAAATTGCGCTTAAATGAATGAAAGCGCCCAGTCATTTTCTATTCACAATTTTTTTTACTGGCATTCCCGCATTTGGTTTGCTACACAAAAGTGGAATATAAATAATAATCAAAAAAGAAATACATATTTCTTTCCAATAATGTCTCCATTTTCATAGCCCCCACTGTGTGAAAATAGCGTTGCTTGCTCTAAGGCGCAGTTGGTTAAATGTTTCGCTAACTTAGCCAAGACCACAACCTAGTACTGTGGAACGTTGAGTGACAATATTAAGGTGACCAGATGCGAGAATTGTAAATTTTTTGTGGAAAATATGAAAATCCAATTTATTATTACATATTTATTTTAGTTTTCGCTTGAAAGTGTGAATTTTAATTTTCCCTAAACAAGTAACGTGATAAGATGGAGGGCAGCACCATTTTGGAGTTTGTCTATTATATGCATATGTTGAAACAACTGTATTGAAAACTAGCCAACATGTGAATCTGGGGGTTTTTAGGGTCGAAAGAGGGCGCTTTCGTGCTTTTTTTTATTTTAATGCCTTTTTTCCGAAAATCGACAACATTGTTGCGAAAATTCACGAAATTTGACTTTTTCATAATGCAATTTCAATTTTTAAAAATTATTATTATTTTTTTTTTATATTTTATTTTAGATATTAAATTTGAATTCAATCATAGGAGGAACAGTAAGACGAAAAAAGAAACCGGAGCGAGTTATTTTTGAAAGTCCTTTTTGCTTTCATGTCTAGGGAATTTTTCACGGCTTTTTTACCTTTACCTTACCCTAAGCTTTTAAATACTAAGCTAGAACTATCCTAATATAATTACATATACGTACTTTTGACCAAAATGCTGATCTAATGAAATTGCTATTGATATCTTCCAATCCTATAATCATATTACTTCGACACAACGTAATAAAAAAAAAAAACGGGAAAAGAAGTTGCGGCAGATCTTGAAGGTCTTTTGGTATAAATATTTTTAAGCCACTTTTCATTGCTTTTCGAAGTCAAATTTTAAAATGTATATTTTTTTATTGTCACTTAGAACACGGTTACCCACGAACGTGTACGTAGCGTAGCGTAGAAGTACGTAGAAACATCAAGTTTGGTGTTGATAGAAATAGAGAGAAGCAACGTATACGTCACGGTCACGCGGTGGTGAGTTTTTGTTAACACGCAAATGCCATAAAATAGATCGTGTCAGCTGACACGTTCTCCGTTTTTACGTCCATGGGTAACTGCACTTTTATAGTTGAAAAATTTTCAAGCAAAATTTTAGTAAAATAACATCAAATCTGAAGCAGTTATTTATAAAATAGTTAAAGTTTAATCAAACATTCAAGTACCCTTATCTCGAAAACCGGAAGCAATCAGTTAAAACGGGGATGTCATTGAATTTAGAACATCCCAATTAAGTGAGTTCAACTTTCACAATCTTTGCTGAAAATTTAAAACTTGCACCGCGTAGTCTGAACCCAGCTTATTCTTTTGTTTTCTACTGCAGCGATCTAAATGTTTATTTCTCGTCTAACTTTTGAAGCACTTGATGAAAATCAATTACAGTTATATTTATCGATTTATTATGAGATTACGAATAGAATCATATATAAAAAGTAGGTGTGCCCACAAATAAAAAAAATTACACTTTTGAAAGTGTACCTGTTTTTTTTCGATTTGCACATATACCGTATATTTATCTTACAATACTTTATAATTTGAAAAAATATATTTCCACTTAACCAGTAAATTTTCTTAAACCTCTTTAGTTTGATAACCGTGTTTTGATATTTTTTTTTATTTTATCCTGTTAGCTAAATATTTTTTTTGTTTTCAAACAGGTGGCAATCCTCTTCAAAAACATTTTCTGCATAAAATTTCCTAACCCTCTTTAGTTTCATACCCATATTTCAATATTTAGTTTATCTTGTAAAATATCATGTATCATGTAATATCATGTCATGTATGAACACAAGTCCACATATAAGCTTGGATCTTGAGAAAAATAGGTATTCAAGTAAACCGGGATGTATAATGTACAGACATCCGCCTGTTGCAATTTTATCATACGTGTAGATTATGACTTCTATATTTTTTAGTGTTTTTTTTTTAGTTGGTTGTTGACTTTTTTAATAAAATTAAACTACAAAAATTTTGATTAAGCAATAATAACATAAATAGCGGTTAATAAAAAACAAAGGAAAATAAAATATATAAATAAACTAATACAAAATATAAAAAAGAAAACGTTTTTAAGCAATCCGTGTATCGAGGATTGAACCTGTGTCCTACGGAATTGTTGTACGCAGCTCTTACCACTCGGCTACTGCGGATGCAAAAACCCGCCTGCTTTGTTTGCTTACTTGAGCAATAGACAAAAGCTGGCCATTTTGGACAGTGCGGTCATCGAAAATTCTCCTGATGCCCATTAATTTTGAGGTTTAACTGTAGGACTAAATCCGCATCAATTACAGTTAATTACCGAAGTAGGTAATTCCGAATTAACGAGATGATTCGGATCAACGTTGCTGTCTGTCTATGCCCTTACTGCCAGTAAAATCCTCTGCTAACATTTGTGTAGAACGTTTTACCTGAATTGCTTTTTAAAAGAAACTTCTTCAAAAAGAAAAATAGTGCAAAAAGTCCGGCAATGGCAGATTTTAAAGGGCTAATGAAATTTTATTAACATTATCACATCCAATTGAAACAGTTTTATTCTCAGTTCTAAATACCTTCTTAGCAAACGCTTAAGAGACGTCACCTGTAGAGAAGATTTGAAATCTCGTAGTTTGATTCAAATTTATCAAATATGTAGTCCAATTTGGGCTCTATTGGTGTAATGAGTCAATGAGCTGTGCTACCAAACTAGCAGTGGCAATATACAATACAGACATGCATGTATGTATATTTAAATTGTTTGCTTGTCCTCGAGTCATAAAATTGCACCTAAATATTATAGCAAGCTCATTAAAATTTTATACAAAGCGTTATAAATTTAGCGGGCTTTTTGACTCATACGTTGCATGAAATGAAATATATGTAAGTTTGGCGACCGCAACAGCGGAAAACTGCTAAATTAATAACAGCAACAAATATGTATGTACATATGGCTGCATGCGTATGTATCTATGTAGATAATGAACATAACTGCAAATGTAATTATTTAACGCAAATGGGATCGCAACAACGCACATTTTGTTCGCTTGAATTAATACTCGTATCAAATTGAATGCCAATCAGTGTTGCCATTTTAGCCATTTTCCGGCTAGATTTAGCCTGTTGCGATTGCAAACAGCTGCAGAAATTTCGGTTTAGGCGGCAACTGATTTGTTAGCCATTTTGTAAAAAAAAAAAATTGCCGTTCTTAGCCGATTTTGCTATTTGTCTTATTTTCTTATTTTTTTAAACAAACTCTTTTTTGCTGAGAACTTATTTAAATTCCAAAAGCCGAAGGCCAACTTGAATTAAAAGAACCAACACTGAAATGCGTCAAAATGAAAATAAAAGAGCACAAATTTTCTATGTAAAGCAAAACTCTCTGGGAACACAATAAGTTTGTTCGTCGAAAATCCTGCGAGAATTATCACTCGAGATATCAGATATGTAGTAAGAAAAAATGCTAACAAATTCTCTCTCAAGTAGAGATATTTGCAAATTTCTACACGAACGCAAATTTGCAGGAATTTGCAAGCTTTCCGGCCAGCTAGTGTCCACGCTTGCATT